CCCCAAGATCCCATTTTTTGCCCGGCAATCTTGTCTACTTCCCATAATCAGGAGGATAGCTATATGTTTTTCTTTGGGATCACCTTCTTATTTAGCTTCTTTAGGAGATCAAATTATAGACTCACTGACCTTTATTTATCTCTAGAAACCAATTATGAGTGAATACATCCCTTTTCCTCTTGATTAAACCTTGACTCAGAAGAAACTCAGTAATGTGTCTGCTCTTGCTGTGGAAAATGCAGTAGTGAGAACATGTCTTCCCAGCCTACCATGCTCCTCATCAACTGAATTTTCAAGAATAGATGACTTGCTGATGTGATTGGTTAAAACCAAGAATATTCAATATGTAATAATTTGTTAGTGTTCTAGATCACATGAAGATCAAAGTTGGAATTACTAAAACTCTTCTCTCTCTTGGGGCCCCAGTGTTTTCTCTTCCTTTCTACAGTCACACCTGGAGACATTAGGACTCTGCTGTAAAGCGCCTTCTCAGTCTCGTGTGTACTGTTTCTTGAATGTATTCTTTCTTGGTCAGATTCCCAGAGGAATGAGGAACATAAAGTAATAGAGCATAGGGCAAAGGAACCCATAATAGGGGAAGAGCCCAGGAGAGCACCACAGAGCAATGAGTCCGAGCAGTTGAAAGCATGGACTTGGAGTCAGATAACATCTATTTACAGTAACCAATTGTGATACCGCACAATTTCCTGAACATTTCTGACATTTAACTTCTATAACATTTGTAACAAACTACCTATCTCAAAGGATTCATTGAATATTTGCTAAGATGTTACACTAAAAAATAGTCTAGTATGTGATAAGAGAGAAAATGCTGCCATAGTTAATAGTAATGAGAAGCTACCTAGAATAAAACAATAATTGTAGTCTTAATTTATCCTTTTCATCCTTATGACAGTTAAAACTGATAGAACAATATTTTGAAGTCTTACTTTCCAACTTCATTTTCTTTAAAGTAAAACATCCTGCTCTCCGACCAAAAAGATGTAAGCCATGTCCTTGTGATGATGGAAAAACCATTGCTCCTCCTTCCCCCTTACACAAAGTGAAGAGAAGTGAAAACCTCCCTGCGGTGAGTGGCATTGAAGTTCTTTCATTCCTCAGCCTAGAAAGACCATCCCTTTGACTAGCCAGCCATTGGGCCTTGACAGCAGTCATGGGTTTTCATGGCGATGGGACAGAATGGGTTAAGAAGATATACTCTGATTAACTCTGTCTAGGGGGGTATAAATTAGCTGCTGTCCTTCCACCCTGCTCAAGCTGTTTGACTGTTTCTTTCTCCACAGAAACTGCTACTGTACATTGTGTTGTCATTCACTCCCCAAACCAGGACATGTAGTTCACACTTACAGATGGATCGATTTAATAATAATGATATTTTCAGTGAAAAACCACTGTTTATACCACAAACTTAAGTTACCATCTTCAATATTATTTTGGATATGACTTAGTCCGTTGTGTTGAAGATTGGGTACATCTACAATATAATCAAGATAAGAAAGTCTTGCACAGATAATACCTTTCTGTAGATGTTTAGCCTGGGCACAAGTTTAGACCTTCTGTTTGCCTCTGTAATCATAAACACTTTACCGATAGACCTTATGGTTTTTGTTTATTTTTTGCAGTTTCATATTTTGTAGTTTTACTGTGATGCATTTAATAAATGGCAGCAAAGATTGCTTTCCCGGGTCTAATAAGACACCTCACTGGGTGAAGGCACTTCCCACATAGTCTGAAAACTTGAGTTCCATCCCTAAAATCCACGTGTAGAAAGACAGAGCCAACTTCTGAAAGTTGTCTTCTGGCATGCACACGCACACAAATAAATGTAGAAATTTTTCTATAAATTACCAAATAATTTTATTCTTTGTATATTCCACATTCCTTGTAAACACCAGAGTAAGAGTTTGGAGCAGTATACTTTAGGAGGCTGTGAAACATAATAAAATCATAAATATTTATTGAGAATGTATGAAAAGATAGATTGTATGAGTCAGCCCACGAATCATTACTTTTGCATGACAGTTATGTACACAGGATTTTGGAAAGCATACACAAAAATAAAAAACCATGTTTCTGCTTCTAAGAACTAATGAGAAAGTGTTTTGTAAAAGGCATTATGTGGTCCTGAAATTATTAACTTACCAAAAGATAATCATAAGGATTATGTTTAGCAGAGGTTTTCTGTATGAGATGGATTTTATGGAACAATAATAACCAATCTTTTTGAGCACTTAGTTTATAATACTGTTGTTGTTCACATTTTACATGAATAGATCCTCTCAGCTCAGGGATAGGAGGAAGAACCTGATGCAGTCAGTCAGCTGGGAAGAAGCAGGGCCAGGAGCACACACAGGCAGCCTGACTCTGGAGCCCACTGCATGGTTCTTAGAAGAAAGAGGGAACTAGGCAGAGTGAGCTGAGTGCACTCAGGCAGGAATTCATATCTCCACGCTCACAAAGTCATAGAGTTAAACCATTTCTTGTGCCTTTTCAGAGTAGTGTTTGATATATCTAGGACTGTGTGTGGGATTTTAATAATATACAGAGACAGTCATGAAGTCTTAAAGTGAACTTTTGCATATGTGATCATAAAACAGTATATGTTGGTTTAGGGGGTTTTCTCCTGTAGCTATAATTTCAAATGAAGTAAAAAGTGATATAATACCTTCTATGTTTACTCCTTTTCTTCTGTTTTTCAGTAGAGCTCTATATAAATCAAGATATATTAAATTGTTTATGTCTTCAACATTCATTCATTTAAAGTTACATAAAACATAAGTGCATTTTGAGAGCAAAGACAGATGAGCTTTTAAAGCTATGTTTTATTTGTATTTATCAGACTATCTGAAAGTACATCTTTCTTTTTTTTGTTATTTGGATTTTTTGAGACAGGTTTTCTCTGTGTAGCTTATCCTGGAACTTGCTCTGTAGACCATGCTGGCCTCGAACTCTGCCTCCCGAGTGCTGGTGTGCCACCACCACCCAGAAACATCTTCCCTCTTATAATGGAATTCCTAACATTTTTATCTGGCAGCATCAGACCATCAGTGCTATTTTACAAGACATAGAAGAAAAACAAGAAAACTTATTAAAGCTTGAAATAAGAGACTCTGAAGATGCAGGTAAATATGTACTTCTTATTTCAAAGTTCATTATAGCTGAAAGTGTGGACTCGTGTGTGTGTGTGTGTGTGTGTGTGTGTGTATGTGTGTGTGTGTGTGTTCAGGCAGTCAGGCCATGGCGCATGGATGAAGATCAGAAGACAACCTCAGGTGTGTTGGTCTTCATCTTCCATCTTGTTGACACAAGGTCTTTTTGTGATTTGCTGCTGAGTTATGCCTACCAGGCTAAGTAACCCAGGAGCTTCCTGGAATTCTCCCATTTGAACCCCCCCCCATCTCTCCTTGTGTGCACTGGGGTTGTAGACACATACAACCACACCTGGGTTTATGTGGACTCTAGGGATTTGTACTTGGTTCCTCATATATGGCAGGTTCTTTCACCTACTGAGCCATTTCTCTAGCCCTACACAGACTTTTAAAAAAATGTGACAGTATCTAAGGTGCTCAAATTTTAACATGAGTCAGTAATGCAAGCAAGTAATTTCTGGAATTTTTGACACAGACATTTCTGTACAAAGTCAAAATATCATGCATCATGTGAGAGGCGTTCTGGACCATAATAAGAGGTAAACAGCTACTAAGGATATGTTCAGATGAAGGTGTGGCTTCATCCTTAAGCCCAGAATTAAGGAGTGTTGAGTTTGCTGCTCTTTGATGCTGTCTTAGCTTTCCTACTACTGTGATGAAAACACGCTTATCCCCTAAAGTACTGTCTCTGATAAATAAGTACACAGTATCAATTTACATATGAAATACCTTCATGACCTTTCTTCCAGCAACAGACTGCATTGTGCTACTGTAGTATTATTTTTAATATCTGAAATTGAAAATTCAGTTAGAAAGCCCAAGGTGAAGGATGTGTATATAAGCAGATTTATTTCTAAATTTTTAATGATTTCACACATTTTACTCAGTTGTTAGCATATACATCATACCAAAACTAATTCTTTACTATAGTATTAGAAAGATAGGAACGCCCCTGAGGACACTGACCCTAGATTTTTTCCAGTCATTTGGTTTGCACATGGAGATTCTGTGAAGCTCAAGCATCCAATTAATGGTGCTGTTGGTTATTTTTGATCTTTTTATTATTTTGGTTCTTTTGGGGGAAGGCCCACTACCCAGCTTTCAAGTAAACCACACAGAGAGCCACAGAGTCTTATCTTTTTTTTTCCAGTTTTCTTTTTCTTTTTTTTTTTTTTTTTTTTTTGGTGTTTTGTTTGGCTTTGGTTTTGCTTTTTTGTTTGTTTGTTTTTCAAGACAGAGTTTCTCTGTGAAACAGTCCTAGCTGTCCTAGAACTCAGTCTGTAGACCAGGCTGTGGCCTCAAACTCACTGAGATCTGCCTGCCTCTGCCTCCCAAGTGCTGAGATTAAAAGCATGTGCCAACACTGCCTGGCAGACTTATTCTTAATTAAGAGTGCCCAGCTTTAGCTTGGCTTGTTCCAAACCAACTTTTCTTCATTTAAATTATCCCAGCTTCCTTTTGACCAGGCCTTTTTTTTTTCTTTTTTCTTTTTTTTTTTTTTTTTTTTTTTTTTTTTTTTTTTTTTTTTTTGTTTTCGAGACAGGGTTTCTCTGTAGCTTTGGTGCCCATCCCAGAACTAGCTCTTGTAGACCAGGCTGGCCTAGAACCCCCTTTTTCTTTTCTTACTTGTATATATTTTACATTTCTTCTTAACTGCATGGCTGGCTGGGTAGCTTGGTGACTGGCCTCTACCATCCTCCTCCCTTTGTTCTCTTGTTGCTCCCCTCTTCCTTGTTTCTCCTTCTATTTATACTCCCTGCCTGCCAGCCCCACCTATTCATGCTCCTGCCTCACTATTGGCCATTCAGCTCTTTATTAGACCATCAGGTGTTTTAGACAGGCAAAGAATCACAACTTCACAAAGTTAATCAAATGCAGCATAAAAAAGCAACATATCTTAAAATAATTTCCCCATTTTGTCTTTCTAAACAAAAATGAAAAGTTTTAACTTTAACATAGTAAGATTGTATAAAATAAGACAATTACCAAATAAAGATTACATTCACAGAGTACTGAATTGCAAATTATTTGTGTCTGGTAAATTTTAAGAAAATAATCCATCATCTATCCTATCTTGGTAAATCCAAAATTTTATACTTAACTTACTTTTTATCATATTTAAGAAAAACTATATCTATAGCTGTCTAATCTCCAATTCCATCAAAGGCACCAGGAGGAAATATTATTTAAGTAAGAAAAAAAAGTGCATTACAAATAACTCCACAAACTCTAGAGATGACATAAATATCTGTCTGCCGCGACAGTCATCCCAAATTTCTTTGCAATGTTGGGGCATCCATCTTCAGCCTACAGGCCCAAAGTATCCGAGAGACCTTTCAGTGAAGCAGAAAATTTGACAGACTATCCCACCTATATTGGCAGTTTGTCAGTCACTTTCCTCTGTGTCCTGCAGAATGTCTGACAGTTTCTTCTGTGAAGTAGTAGCCCTGAAGGACCATCCTGCCTTGTTTTGGCAAAGTTTAGCAGTCACTTTCCTGTGAGTTCTGCATGCCTCGTTTATACAGCATATTATCAAGCAGTTCAGGCAAGAGCAGCTTCTTGCCCGAATGGCTAGCCACATTGAAAGAAAACTACATAAGGTGCTTCTTTGATGCCTGAAGTAATTTTCTGAAGTAAACTGGTGCTTCCAGGAGCAGATATGTCTCATTATCATAAAAACCCCTAAATTAATGAAACATTTTAACTGCCATATTCTGTAGGTATTTGAAAGGTTTGAAGACCATCTATCTACCTAAAATATATCTCTATATGATATGGAAAACATACTTAGCATATCTACAATTTTGATTATTATAGAGGACTAACTACTGGCCTGTGTTTCTTGATTGTCCTAAGTAGTTCATAATTGTAGCTATCAAAAACAAGAATTTTACCTTACATTTTTAAATGAATTGCCTAAGTACAATACCTTAAACAAAAGTAGAAACATATATAGAATATGTTGTAACATAATAAACTTAAATTGGTATCAATACACAAAAATCCTTGTTTAAAAAATAGAAACCTTGTTTAAAGAATAGAAACATATACAGTGTGTTGTAATAAAAATTACTTTAAATTTGTATCATTATACAAAAGTCCTTTAAACAAGAGTAAAAACATATATACAGTGTAACAAAATTGACTTTGAATTTGTATTCATATACCAAAATCCATGCCAAGACAAAATATCTGAGATTAATAGTGATATTTTTATCCTATATTCCTACATTCCCCTAAATGATAGCAAACATATAGGACCCACAAAATAACAAAAGACCTTCCACATTCTCTTTTCTCTTGGAAATGTGGGTACAGACTTCTCCATACTGCTCTGCTGACTGTGGGTGACGACTTTTTGAGGGTCCCTGAGAAAATTTGAGCTAATGACCAAGTCCTAGGAAGACCAGCAGTAACCTTTGTTGATAGATATAACCTGTCAAGTCTCCCCTGATACATATCAATCTGGAACAAATTCACAGCCTCCTGTTTCCTGTGAAAACAAAACAAAACAACAACAAAAAAAAAACCCCAAAAAACCAAAAATGCTTCTCCAAAGTAAAGCATCCTTTAAGTTCCATTTTACAAATACATTTTTTTACTTCTATTTCTAAGTTAAGACATTCCTAAAGTATATAGATTGGTTTACTTCTACAATTCCTTTCAATCCCATGTCTCTTAGCAGCTGTTTTTTGCTTATCAGCATTCAAAAGATTCAAAATCAGCACAATAGCCTACAAGATCCAGACTCTCTGTGTATTTCCCATCTGAGTGGCTTATTGTTTTTATTACTTTTACTCTCTCTTTCAAGACTTTAATTTTTTATTTTTAAACTTATTTCTTTCTATAACTGTCCATACCCTTTGTCTTTCTTTCTTAAGTCTACATACATTGTAAAACACACTGAGTAAAGGTTTTTCCATCTGGATCTTTTTGGTGAGTATCTCTTAGTCTTTTTTGACTGCATGAGCAAACATTAGACTGTTAAGAAACACCTGAGCCTCCTCTTGCCATAGCAGCTGGCTCTGCCACTCTTGGATCAGGTCATGAAAGGCAAGCCTAAAGCTTGTGCCAAGTTGGAGTTACAAGACGAGGAACTGCATTCAACCTTCCTAGAGCTCTAGAATGCTGATGCTTCCGATGCCACAGGCATTTTTACTTCTTTTGTTGTTGTTGTTGTTGTTGTTCCTACTTAATGTACTGGCTGGACAAGGGCTGTCCAGCAGACACAAGCTCTTAAATGAGCTGTATAATTTTTTTTAATTTTTTTTGGTTTTCTTAGACCCTACATGGAGATACAGCCCCACATTGGGCACCAAAATGTTGTTGGTTGTTTTTGATCTTTTTATTCTTTGGGGAGGGGGCACCACCCAGCTTCCAAGTAAACCACACACAGAGGCTTATTCTTAATTATAAGTGCCCAACCTTAGCTTGGCTTGTTTCTTGCCAGCTTTTATTAACTTAAATTATCATGACTACCTTTTGCCTCTTGATTTTTTTCCTTTTCTTACTTCTATGTATCTTATATCCTGTTTACTTCGTGACTGGCTGGGTGGCTTGGTGACTGGTCCCTGACATCCTCCACCCTTTGTTCTCTTGTTGCTCCCCTCTTCCTTGTTCTCCTTCTATTTATACTCCTTGCCTGCCAGCCCCACCTATTCATGCTCCTGCCTCACTATTGGCCATTCAGCTCTTTATTAGTACCATCAGGTGATCACAGCTTCATGTTGTTAAAGACATGTAGCATAAAAAAGCAACACATCTTAAAATAATATTTCCCCAACATAATGATTTTAAGTTTAGTTATCTAAGATAAAAGAGCAGCAGTTCAAAAAACATTAACAAAGATCTTAAGAAACAAATACAAAAGTTAAATCAATGGCGGGTAGATTAGTGGGAATGCCATGCATTAATTTCAGCCTTTCGATTCTTACTTGGGAATCTGGATTTGGGCATAATCCACATTTATGTATGTAAGTCAGACTCCTACCAGTGATACTGTGTTGCTGTCTTTCTTTGGGTACCATTTTTCTCCTTCCAGAAAATTCACTTTATACATCATCAGTGTCCGCTCCTTGAGATCAGTGGCCAAAGTAATGTTTCAAGAACATAGATCCAAGATGCTTTTATCCTCTTTCATGGTCACCATTCTGTAGTGTAGAAAATCATCTTTAAAAATTAAAGAAGAGTTAGTGGAATTATTTGAAACTTTGAAGAAAAGTTGAATTCTTGAAGGATAAAAAGAAGAATGATGGAACTTTGACTTTTAAGTAAGCCATGTTTCCAGGCTCATGAATAAACTATCAGTCTTTTTGCAAAGACTAGAAAGAAAGTTGCTTCCCATAGAAGTGGTCATTATTTTCCTCAGAGAGCATGGTCTTTGTTCTAGAAATAATAAACGTGATGTATTGACATCATGCATCACTTTCATCTGTAGACTGAATACCTTGTCTTGTTTTCATGGTTTGCTTGAGGATTGTTTGGGAATGCCTTGTTTTATGATGTACATATGCTTTTGAAAAATAGTTGTGAATTCCAAATTATAGTACATAACATTTTATTTATGGAAAATTAATATTCAGTCATTTTAACCAAAATAGTGAGCTTCAGTTTCAGTAAGGAGTCAAATCTTTTGTTTTAGTGAGGGACCATGTCTCAAAAAAAAAGTGAAATCCAAAGAATTTCCTCGGGACTTGTTATGCAAGTCTGGCAACCTGAATTCCATCTGTCCTCCACATTCCTATGTATGGTGTGTGTATCTGTCTGTCTGCAATAGATATCTGCATATATCACATATACACAACATCACCACATACAAGACAGACAGGAAGAAAAGATAGCTGATCATAGAGAGCCCATGAATCCCAGCTCCTAGACCCTAAGTCAATAGGGACAGCAGAATTAAAATCTAAGATGGACTGCCCTTTCTTGGTACAGTGTTATCTGAATACCTCAGCACATTTCATAAGGATGATATAATTAGATAAGCCTTGATTTAACTATGTAGGCCACTTATGTTAGAAAGTTGGCTTGGGATAATGAGTTTAAACCCTAACTCAATAAAATAGATGTTGAGCCTAGTGGTGGTGGTGCACGCCTTTGATCCCAGCACTTGGGAGGCAGAAGCAGGTGGATTTCTGTGAGTTTAAGGCCAGCCTGGTCTACAGAGCTAGTTCCAGGACAGTCTCCAAAGCTACATTAAAATCCTTTTTTTAAAAAAAAAAAAAACCAACCTTGGATGACCAGATTAAGCATTTACCATTTTTCAATTAACTGACCTTTTATTTTATCACTGTGTTTCTAGAACAATACATTGGAGAGATGTTAGAGATAAAAGAAGTTATGGATGATATACTTGCTCAACAGAAGACAGAAAGGGATGATCTAGCTAAAAAATACAGGTGAGTAGGGAAAAGGACTTGGAGCCATTTAAATTATTATAATGCCAGAGCTTAGATTTGGAATGTTTCCCAAAGGCCCGTGTGTTAAAAGTGCAGTTTCAGGGTTGGTTCTGTCAGAAGGTGGTGGGACCCAGAAGGAAGTTTGTGGGGTACAAACACCAAAAGAGTATGATGGAACCCTAGTCCCTTCTTCCTCTCTTTTGCATCTTGACCATAAGGTGAATAGCTTTGTTTTGTCACACACTCTTGCCATGGTGTGTGGCCTCACCACAGAACAAGAATAGTAAGCTGGCGATGACTGAAACCTCCAGAAGTCTGACCCCCAAACAAATTCGGGAATTTGTTACAGCCACTGAAAGCTGGGTGATATTAGTAGTTAGGCCGAGATATCTTTTTTAAATCTCTGATTAAATCTGTTCTCTGACAGCATTATTTCAGTTTCTAGCTTCTTGCTTTTGAGAAAGCTTCTGACTAGTGCCCATAGTGGTTGCACCAGTTTTCACTCCCAACAGTAATACACAAGAATTCCTCTGTCCCTATATCTTGTCCTGTATTGGTTGTCATTGTTATTCTAACTAGGGTGAGATTGAATCTCAAAGTGTTTTAATTTTCATTTCCCTGGTAGGAAATGTGTTTTAACTTTGTTTGAAATGTTTATTAGCCATTTGTATTTCTTCTTTTGAGAATTCTCTGTTCCAACACATGGTACATTTTTTAAAAATAGGTTGTTTTTTTATGCTTGGCTTATTTACTCCTTGTATATTGTAGAATTAATCCTCTGTTGGATATATAGATGGCAGATATTTCTCTTATTGTATGGGATGCCTCTTCACTTACTTAATCTCCCTTGCTGGACAGAAGGTTTTGAATTTTATCAGTTATCATTTGTCTGTTATTGGTTGTATTTTCTGAAGGACTGCAATCCTGTTAAACAGTCTTTCTCTGTTTCTGTTGTTGTAGGGCACTTCCCACATTTTCTCTAGAAGTTTCAGAGTTTCGGGTTTTATGTTGTAGTCTTTGATAAATTTGGAGGTGATTTTTGTGTAGAGTGAGGAAAGGGGATCTAGTTTCCTTCTTCTACACACAGACATCCAGCTTTTCTAGCATTAATTTCTTGAACATGCTGTCTTCTCTCCAACAAGTATCTTTGGCAAAGATGAGGTAGCTGAAGTTACATGGGCTTGTGAATTTTTTTCTGGTCATGAATTCTGGAGTTAAGTTTCTTTCCTACATGTGATGGTTAATTTCATCAAACTGACTCAGTGTGGTGTCACCTGGGAAGAAAGCCTCACAGAGGAATTATCTAGATCAGGTGAGCCTGTGGGCATGTATGTGAGGGATTATCTTGATTGTTAATTGATATAGGAGGATCAAGCCCAGTGTAGGCAACACCATTTTAGAGGATGGGCCCTGAATTATATGAGAGGAGAATGCTAATGAAAACCATGGGTACATGCACGTCTTTCTGCCATTCACTGCATAAGTGGTGGATCAACTGTCCCAAGCTCCTGCCTCTGAGTTTTCTGAGTATTATAACTTAGAATTGTAAACTGTGTTGTCTTTGGTCTGGTTACTGGTCAAAGTAACTAAGCTACTGAAATTTTTATTAATTCAATTTCAAGGCTTTTGTTTGTTTGTTTTTGTTATTGAGACAGAGCTTCTCTGTGTAGCCCTAGCTGTCCTGGAACTCACTCTGTAGACCAGGCTGGCCTCGAACTCACAGAGATTCACCTCCCCTTCTGCCCTCTCCCATGATCCCCATGCTTCCAATTTACTCAAAAGATCTTGTCTTTTTCTACTTCCTATGTAGATTATATCTATGTATGTCTCTCTTAGGGTCCTCTTGTTGTCTAGGTTCTCTGGGATTGTGAACTGTAGGATTGTTTTTCTTTGCTTTGTATCTAAAAGTCAATTATGAGTGAGTACATATTATATTTGTGTTTCTACGTCTGGGTTACCTTACTCAATATGTTTTCTAGATCCATCCCCACAAATTTCAAGATGTCGTTATTTTTTACCACTGTGTAGTACTCCATTGTGTAAATGTACTGCATCTTTTTTATCCATTCTTTGGTCAGGGACATTTTAAGTTATTTCCAGGTTCTGGCTATGATAAGTAATGCTGCTGTGAACATAGTTGAGCACATGTCCTTATGGTATGATTGAGCATCCTTTGGGTATATACACAAAAGTGGTTTATCAGGGTCTTGGGGTAGGTTGTTTCCTAATTTTCTGAGAAATTGCTATACTGATTTCCATAGTAGCTGTACCAGTTTGCACTCCCACCAGCAATGCAAGAGTGTTCCCTTTACCCCACAACCTCTGCAGCATAAGTTGTCATCAGTGTTTTTGATCTTGGCCATTATTACAGGTGTAAAATAGACTCTCAGAGTTGTCTTGATTTGCATTTCTCTGGTGGTTAAGGATGTTGAGCATTTCCTTAAGTGTCTTTCAGCCATTTTAGATTCCTCTGTTGAGAGTTCTCTGTTTAAGTCTGTATCCATTTTTTATTGAATTATTTGTTCTTTTGATGACCAATTTCTTAAATTATTTGTATATTTTAGAAATCAGACCTCTGTCCAATGTGGGGTTGATGAATATCTTTCCCCATTCTGTAGGCTATCGTTTTGTCTTATTGACCATGTCCTTTGCTTTACAGAAGCTTTTCAGTTTCAGGAGGTCCCATTTATTAATTGTTTCTAATTTTGTTAATTTGGATATTCTATCTCTGCCTTTTGGTTAGTTTGAATAAAGGTTTGTCTATTTTGTTGATTTTCTCAAAAAACCAACTCTTTGTCTCATTGATTCTTTGTATTGTTTTCTTTTTTCTATTTTGTTGCTTTCATCTCTCAATTTGATTATTTCCTGCCTAGTTCTAGTCCTCCTGGGTGAGTTTGCTTCTTTTTGTTCCAGAGTTTTCAGGTGTTAACGCACTAGTGTGGGATTTTTCCAGCTTCTTTATATAGGCATTTAATGCTATGGACTTTCCCCTTAACACTGCTTCATTGTGTCCCATGAATTTGGTCATTTTCATTGAATTTTAGTAAGTCTTTAATTTCTTCCTTTATTTCTTCCTTAACCCATTCATGCTTCAAGTGAGCATTGTTTAATTTCCATGTGTTTGTGGACTTTCTGAAATTAGTGTTTCTGTTGAATTCTAATTTTAAGCCATAGTGATCCAAGAAGATGCATGGGGTTATTCCATTTTTTTTATCTGTTGAGGTTTGCTTTGTTAGGTAGTATGTGGTTTATTTTGAGAAGGTTCCATGAGGTGCTGAGAAGAAGCTATATTTCTTTATGTTTGGGTGGAATGTTCTATAAATGTCTGTTAAGTTCATTTGATTCATAACATCTGTTAGTTCCCTTATTTCTCTGTTAAGTTTCTGTCTGGCAAATCTGTCCAGTGGTGAGAATGGGGTGTTGAAATCTCCTCCTATTAGTTTGTGGGGTTTAATGTGTGATTTAAGCTTTAGTAGTGTTTCTTTTACATATGAGGGTGCCCTTGTATTTGGGGCATAGATGTTCAGTATTGAGATTTCCTCTTGATGGATTTTTCCTGTGACTAATATGAAATCTCCTTTTTTATCTCTTTTGATTCATTTTAGTTTGAAGTCTACTTTGTTAGATATGTGTATAGCTACACCTGCTATTTCTTAGGTCCATTTTATTGGAAAATTTTTTCCCAACCCTTTAATCTGAGGCGATGTCTGTCTTTGAGGTTTAAGTGTGTTTCTTGAATGCAGCAGAAGAATGGATTATATTTTCATATCCAATCTGTTAGCCTATATCTTTTTATATGTGAGTTGAGTACATTTATATTAAAGGATATTAATGACCAGTGATTGCTAGTTCCTGTTATTTTAGTTTTCATTGCTGGTGATGTTATTGTCTGTATTTTTCACTTCTTTGGGATTTGTTGCTGTGTGATCCTCTATTGTCTGTGTTTTTGTGGATGTAGCTAACTTCCTTGGGTTGAAGTTATCCTTCTAGTACTTTGTGTAGGGCTGGGTTTTTGGCTAGGTATTGGTTAAATATGGTTCTGTCATGGAATATCTTGGTGATAGAAAGTATTACTGTGTATAGTAGTCTGGGCTGGCATCCATGGTCCCTTAATGTCTGCATAACACTTGCCCAGGACCTTCTGGCTTTCAATGTTTCCATTAAGAAGTCAGATGTAATCTGATAGGTCTGCCTTTATATGTTACTTGGCCTTTTTCCTTTGCAGCTCTTAATATTCTTTCTTTATTCTGTATGTTTAGTGTTTTGTTTATTATGTTGCAAGGGGATTTTATTTGAGCCAGTCTATTTGGTGTTCTGTAAGCTTCTTGTATCTTCATATGCATATCTTTCTTTAGGTTGGAAATATTTTCTTCTATGATTTTGTTGAATATATTTTCTGTGCTTTTGAGTTGAACTTCTATCCCTATTATTCTTAAGTTTGGTCTTTTCATGGTGTCCCATATATCCTGTATATTTTGTGTTAAACTTTTGTTAGATTTAATGTTTTCTTTGACTATTTTATCTTCAATACTTGAAATTCTCTCTTCCATCTCTTGTATTCTGCTGTTTATGCTTGCATTTGTGGTTCCTGATAGTTTCCCCATATTTTCCAGTTCCAGAATTCTCTTGATTCGTGTTTTCTTTATTGTCTCTATTTCAGTTTTCAAGTCTTGAATTGTTTCTTTCATCTGTTTCTTTAAAGGATTTATTGATATCTTTCAATTTTTTGCTTGTCCTTTTCTCCATTTCTTTGAGGGAATTATTTATTTTCTCTTTTAGGGTCTCTAACATTCTCGTAAAGTTATTTTTTTAGGTCATTTCTTCTGCTTCATCTATATTAGGGTGTTCAAGTCTTGCTGTTGTAGGGCCACTAGTTTTTGTTGGTGTTGTGTTGCTCTTTGTGGTGTGTTCTTACCTTGTCAACTAATATTTTCCCTCTGATTTATGTAGCTGGGGCTGTGTCTCTGGTGCCAGTGGATCCAAGTCTTAGATGGTTGTTCCTTGTGGTGCAGTTGGAGCCATGGTTTCCATTACCCTAGAGGTCACACGGCACTCCTGGGGTCACTCTACAATCCCAGAGATCATTCAGGCCTGCGCCCTCTCCAGGTTGCTGGCTGGGGCCTGGTCCTGGCTCAGTACTGGTCCCATAGAGGACACTGACTCAGGCCTGATCCCTCAGAGACCACTCTCGCTTACCTGCTTTGGTGGAGGTTGCTGACTTGGGCATGCTTCTGTGTCCCTGGCTCAGGCCTACTCACGTGGTGGTTGCTCCCTCTGAGGGAGTATCTTTAATATCAACAGTGTGTGAAGAAAATTTTCCATTAATATTCATTTTCTTTTTCTTATAGGGTATCCATGGAGTCATTTAAGCATGGGGCCCTGAGAGAACAACTGTCTAACTTGGCCACAAGACAAAAGAAGCTTTTAGTTGTGGCAAAGAAACAGAAAAAGATAAGACTGAAAATTCAAAACTATAAGAATTCCAAGCCATTGTCTGATATTAGGAAGCGTACATGTAGCTCAGACATCTCTAGTGAGAAGAAGCGCCAAGAGTCTCCTAGTATGAAAAACTCAGTATATCCCCAGTCAGACTTACTTTCTCCTGTCAGTCTTGCTGCTCTTTCTCCTGTCAGTAGAAACATGGAAGAAATACCATTGTCGATGGAAATGGAAAGAGAACTCTCTGGAAATGAGATGAATTCTAAACGAAATGTCCAGGATTGTGCCTTGGATGGACTACTGAAATCCAGGCTCACAGATGGCACTAAGAAAACTGAATTATCATCCCAGCCTGTTACTTTTGTTCCTCAAGCAGGAAATTCACAAGCAGAAAGTAGTTTAACAGAAACTCTGGTCAAAGGCTACAAACCTGATGGTTCTCCTGCAGTGACTGGCACTGTAAGTATTTCAGAAGATAAAAGTGTGCTTTCCCAAAATGATGCCTGTCCACCAGCTGTTCCTCAGAATTTGGACCTTTCCCGTTGTAATCCAAAAAGAAGAAACAAGAAAGCAGCTTCCAATCAACCATGTGTAGGAGCATCAGAACCTCTGGCTCATCAAGCAGTTACTGTCTTAGACACTGATACTGTGCAGCATGCCAATAGCGTTCCGATCCCTCCTTCCTCTGGGTCTGCTCGTCAACAACCTATTAAAAAGCCGCCTCACCACAGCACAGCTCCTAAAAAGAAAAATATGCAGCTGAAAGATTTGCTAGTACGTGGAAGAATTAATACAGGAAAGGACATTCTGGAATTCAAAACACAGGTATTTTTTTTTCTCTAAAGTCTTGCGAAATTTATAAGCAGTGTTGGTGTAGCATAGTATAGGCAAATGGAAAATAAGATTTGACTGTGTTTTCTAAATGTAGGAACATACGATATTCTTAGGAAGGAAATCCACACCTTATTCTGGAATTTCCCTGATAGGTTTCAGTTATAAGTACCTTTTGGTTCTCAGCTACTGTGAGTCAGTTATTTTGTGGCAGGAGGGGTTTCAGAGCAGAGACAGGACATAGGAGCTGTTATTAGTTCTACACTAGGTTCAAGAGCTATCAGTGTACTGCTAAGCCATTCCTAGGGATATATTAATTTGTCTTCCATAGATGTTCAGCTTAAGACAGATTTGAAGTTTCAGTAAGAAACTTAGTTAAATATATAATATATGCATAAAAGTGAATTATGAGAAAAAGGTCTGTTAGATATGCCTATTAAAATACTTCATATATTCTCACTTTTTGAAAGAGGAATTTAGAAGTGGCAAAGATTACCAAGTCATTGAATATGCTTCTTTGCTTGTGGACTAATATTCGAGAAATCAGCCCAGCCTAACTGGAATTTACCTTAAATGGTTGTTTCCCACTCTTCTCATTTCTAGACCCTGACTTTTCCTACTTCAGAAGCTTTGCTTCTAAGTTAAGAACAAAAGAGTGTAATGGTAAAATCTCAATTAGAGTTCTGTGATCCCATTCCTTCAGTGCTCCAGTTTGCCTGCAGCCCGTTCATTAAGCAATGCCTGCCTTACAGTGACCAGATCACATCCATTTTTAGTAGATTAGTTCTGGTTCCTCAGATTTTTGACAGTGTAGTCAGCTTAATGAATCATCAGTAGAGTTTTTCATAGTTGTAGCCATTTTAAGCATCTTTATTGGGGTATAATTTGTAGAAGTTGAACTATACATACTCAAAGTGTACTATTTGACAAGTTTGACGTGTGTATTATCTGTGAAATTTTGCCATTAACAATAAACCATTCATCTGCTCCAGAAACTTTTTATACCTGCTTTATTTTTTTTCTTCTTTTTTTAAACAATCTTTTTTATTTTACATAACAGTCCCAGATCCTCCTCCCTACCAAACTTCCACTCCCCAACCTTTTTCCCACCCTACCCCATCTCTTTAGTTATCCTTAGCAGTTGGTCACTTCTGTGACTCAGAGGCTTCACTGCCGTGCACAGCACCTTCTGGTACTGTGAAAGCTAGTCCTCGGGGAGCAGGCTTTCAGGTCAGGGCCAGTTCAAGTACATAGTGTCTTCAGTGATAGGGACTTACTGCCAACCTCTGGGAGGCAACTGAAGGCAACAGTCATAGGAAACATTGTTTTGAGAGTCTCTTGAACTTCCCTGACCAACAAACAACTCAAAAAAAATTTCATTCAAAGTGAGCATGTGTGTTATTTATCCCTCCCTACTCCTTTTCCTTCTGTATTGACCTCCCTCCCTGCTTCCTAACTAAAGGCCACCTCCCCATTTTTCCCTATATCCCTTTCATATTGCTTGTATTCTGCTAGTCCCTCTCTAGAAACCCCTCCCCGTCATCCTTTTTTTTTTTTTAATTTTCTGGTTTCCAGGTTATATATTCACATCTGAAGATTTGGATAGGTACCCCAGATGGTCAGCACTTAAATAATGTACATAAAAAGCAACATTAAACAGATTCATCAGGCTTTATTTATGTATTTATGCTTGCCGTATGTAAGGGTTCTCTAGAGACATGGAAGAGATTTACTAGACTGGCTATAGGATGCCACTAAATAGTCCAACAATGGTTGTTGCCTCATAACAGAAAGACCAAGAATTTAATAATTGTTCTGTCCATGAAACTCAATGCCTCAGCACTCCCAGTCTGGTACTGGAATCCTGGAGGATTCCTGGAGAATTTCTGGTTTTCAGTCTACATTGGAGTCCTGGCAAAGTTGGGTTTAATACTTGGCACAGCAACAGAGGAGGAGACAAATTTATTTGCTAGTCAGAGTGAAGGCAAACAGGCAAAAAGTGAAGCTTCCTCTTCATTGTCCTTTTTTGTGGGCCACCACTAGAAGCTGTGGCCAAATTTTGAGTATCTCTTCCTACCTCAAATTATGTTTGATCAAAGAATAATTTGATTAGGATGAGTTTGTAAGATTTTAACCTTAATCAAATTAAGAAAGTCCCTCACAGCATGCCCAGTATTTGGGCTCTAGTTGATTCCAGACGTCATCAAGTTGACAATGAAGATGAGCCATCACATGCACATGTAAGAAAAGAAACCATGACCTTGAGAGGGAATAGGGGAGGAAATGTGGAAGACAAGAGGATGGTGGAGGGGTTGGAGGGAGGAAATGATGGAATTATATTTTAATTAAAATTTTCTTTAAAAATCTATGTTCCAAAGGAAAGTGAAAAAAAAATTATTTGTCTGACTCAAAGTGACAAAGGTTTTTTCATAGAATTCTGGCAGTTTTTTTCTTAAAGCAAAGTCAGTGAGTTAATATATTGAGTAGCTGAAGTTATGGTGATGTGACGGTGGTGCGTAGGTGTCTTCACAGTGAGTGCTTATGACCTTATGACTTCATAAATTTCACTTCTCAAATGATATAATTTACCACCAGGGTAAAGATTACGCATAATTCTTACAGTTTGGGGCTAGGATCCATCCTAAATTAATTTTTCTATTTTATCTATTTTTAGGATTCTGTATCCCAGGTTGGCCTAGAACTCTTTATGTAGCCAAGGCTAGCATGTAGTGACCCTCCTGCCTTAGCCCTCCAAGTTCTGGAATTACATATGTGACCCACTATGCCCAGGCACACTCATATTTCCTAATTTGGATAACTAGTTGGTCCAGCAGCATATATTGAAAGAGGCATCTTTGTTTCAATGAGTTGCCTATGAGTCTCTGAAAAGATCTGTTGCTCATATGTGTTTCTATTCCTGGACTCCCTATTGTTTCATTATTTATTTGTCTACATTCACATCAGTATTAAACTGCCTTGATTATTGTTGCTGCATAGTAGACCTTGAAATTGAGTTAATGCTGGCCTTCTGATCACGTTCCTTTACAAACATGTTTGGCTATTTTAAGTCATATATGAAGTTGAGAATGAGTTTTTCAGTTTCTACTACAAAAAAGGCTGTTATTTTCATTGATATTTTATTAATTGTGTGGATTAGTTGGGAAGGAAATGGCAGTTGAGCCCATGAATGGAGGATGTCCATCCATTTACTTTGGTCTTTGATTTTTCTCAGCAGTGTAGGGGTAACTCACTTTTCAAGTCTTTCTTATCTTTTATTAGATTTGTCTGTAAATATTTCATATCTTTTTTGGGTTTTTTTGAGACAGTTTTTCTGTGTAACTGTCATGGCTATCCTGGAACTCGCTCTGTAGACCAGGCTGGTATCAAATTTATAGAGGTCCTTCTACCTCTACCTTCCACATGCAAGGATTAAAGGTGTGCTCCACCACCCTCTGGCTAATGTTTCATATTTTAATAACATCAGTTATTTGTTTTTTAAAATTTCAATTTCTAGTTGCTTATTACTAGTTTCAAGAAATTGACTTTTGGGTATTGAAATATTTTCCTACAACTTTTCTAAGCTTACTAGTTATAGAATGTGTGAATGTGTTTGGAAATTTTATTGAACTTCCTTCCTTTTTTTTTTTCTTTGTTACCTGACTGCAGGGACCAAATTGGGTAGAATAAAAGCAACCAGTCTTCTGTTTCCTAAGATGGTTTCACAATTAAGAATATGTTAGCTCTAGATTTTTCAAAGATGTTTTTTATCAGCCTGAAAAAGTTCTCTTTTACTCATAGTTCATTGGGTATTTTTATCAGGAAGGATGTGGGATTTTTGTTGATGCTTTATATTAATTTATTGGGAGGATTCCGTGGGTTATTTTTGTTCTGTTGATATTACAATGCAGGAAAACAAACAGAATCCACAGCTTTCATCTAAGGGACTAGACAGTTTATTCTGGAGTCATTTTAAATGCCCATGGCCCAGAAACACAGATTTAGGTTAACTCAAATTCCATGTCCCAACGTGGAAGCAGCTTTGTGAAGTTTGTTAGTTTTGCAGACCAAGAAAGCCACAAAGTCAAGTTTAAAAATACATGGCTGGGTGTGTCAGAAAGGCAGGCACAGCAGGATGGGGGAGCTTTCTATAGGCCCAAGATGCCATCTGAGGTTTTGGTTGGTGGAGGCCAGTGATCTGCTAAGTCAATAGATTTTTAGAGGTTTTTATCCATTAGTCACAGGGTCTTGGTTCTGACGTAGAGGTGGACAATGAATGGCTATCCAGGGCCTAAAGCTAACCCAAGATGATGGCAATTAGCCCTTTGGACCGTCAACATTCCAGCTTGTCCACATCACTGCCATCTAATCAGTTAGTCTCTACACACACAGCTTCTCATCTAGACACACCATATGGTAGACAGCATTAGTTGACTTTTGGGTGTTCACACAATATGGTAGACAGCATTAGTTGACTTTTGGGTGTTAACCCTTGCATCCCAGAGATAAATTCCACTTGGTTTTGGTGTAGGATTCTTCCATGATGTTGAATTTCATTTGCAGCATATGTTAAAGATTTTCTCTATCCGCATGCACCAGAGTACTGAACTGCTATGGTTTTGGTGTCAGGAGTACACTAGCCTAACAGAATGAGCTCACAAACACTCCTCTCTCCTGACTTTTGGAAAAATTTGTGAAGTCTTATTTAGCTTTTTCACAGTATTGAGCAGTGAAGCCATTTGTACCCAGGCTTTTCTTTGTAATGCTTGTTACTAATTTGTTTGCTTCAGGTATTTTTAGAATGTCTGTTTCTTCTTGAGTCAGTTTTGACAGTTCATTTATTTCAAGGAATTTGCTAATCTAATTTATCAATATATAATTATTAATAGTATTCCCTTACAACTTATTTCTGTAATATCAACATTAGTATCTCCTTCTCTTTTGACTGACGTTATTTGAGTTGTCTCACTTGATTTTCTTAGTCATCTAGCTTAAAGGTTTGTCAATTTTGTACATGTTTTTTAAAAACCTTTCTATTGCTTTTTCTCAACTGCTTTTTTATTGTCTGCTTTGTTTTTACTCTTTGTTACTTTTTTAGTTACTTATTTCCTTCTGCTTTGTTTTTTTTCAAGTACCTTAAAGGTTAAACCATCAGATTGAGATTTTCTTTTTTAGTATTATTATTGTTTTTACAGTTGCAAACATTATTCTAAAGCTAGGTGAGGTAGCACATGTTTGTGATTCCAGTAGAATCACGGTAGACTGAAGCAGGAGGATGGTGTAGTCTAAGCTAACTTGAACTACATGCTGAAACTGTGTCCAACCCCCTGTGTCCAACTCCACCCTGCACCAAAAAAGAATACCCTGTTGCCTACTGCTTTTGCTGCATCTCTACAATTCAAAATATTATATATTTTCATCCATTTTAGAGTTATGTGTGTGTGTGATGTGTGTATGTATTTGCACTTTGTGTGTGTGCAACTATAGGTGTCAGGAGTCAGTGTCAGGTGTTTCCTCCATTGCCATCATCTTTTGTAAAAGACTGGTCTGTCCCTGGACCTGGAGTTTACTGTCTCTTCTAGGCTGCCTGGCCAGAGAGCCCTTAGGATCCATCTGCCCCCACACCATGCTGTGTTAAAGATACAACTGGCTTTATGTGGATGCTGGGATCTTTGTGTATCCATTGGGCATTATCCCAAGTATTTTCTAATTTGTAACTTGGTTTCATCTTTGAGTCACTGGTTACTTAGGAGTATGTTTAATATTTTTATGTAATGGTGAGCTTCCTATTATTTTCTGTTAATAATTCCTACTCATATTTTATTGTGGTTAGAGAACATACCTTACACTGTCTCACTCCTTTTGAAACTTTGTAAGGCTAATTTTATGGCTTACCTAGCAAGTGTCCTCTCCTAAATAATATTCCACAGGCAGTACAAGGAATTACTATTTTATTGTTAACTGGTTTGCCTTTCTTTTTTGCTAATTTTCTTTTGCAGTGCTGAGAACCTCGTATATGCAAGAAAAATAATATTCCACTGAGCTACATCACCAGCCTTTGGTGTTTTTAATACATAATTTTGTTATTTTGCTTTCAGCCCAGGCTGGCCTTAAACTCACAATCCTCCTTTCTCGGCCTCCCGGGTGCTGGGAGTATAGATGTATATCTATAATCCACTTACATAGAGATTTCTGTATATTCTTGCTTAGTGTTCAGTTTTATAGTGGTTGAGTCTTGTCTTCTCGCATTGCTGTTTTGCCTATGTGATCATTATACCTCCTTGTTGAAAGTAAGACATTGAAGTCTCCAACATTTCATGTTGGTTTGTCTGTTTTTTCCCTTAAGTTTTTTTTTCCTGTGTTTTGGAGTTCTGGATTTCCACATACGCATGCCTATAATTGTTGTATCTGCCTGATGCAGTAACCCTTTTTAGTATTGTATAATGTCTATTTCTAGTAACTTTTGGTTCAAAGTATTTCTGCTATTTGTCTATTTCTAGTAACTTTTGGTTTAAAGTGTTTCTGCTATTAGTATAACCAGTCCATTTTTCTTGTGCTTTTTGTTTGTATGATATGCTTAGTCATCTTTTAATTGTCAATTTACTTATTTCTTTTAATATAAAGTCTGACTCTTGTATACATTATATAGTTGGGTCTTATTTATTTAGTCTAGTCTGACAACACCTGCCTTTTGATGAGCTATTTAAACAAGATAGTAAACAAGAATTTATTAATATTGTTGGATTTGCACCTGTTAATTTTTATTGGATCCTATACTGAAACTTGCCTCATGAATGCTGGATATCTTTACATGCTTTAAATTATTTGATACATTTGTTCCATAATATAAGTAAGTTGCTTAGAGAGTCTTTGGCATTTTGAGGTTGTTTTTTAAGTTTTGTTTGAGCAGTGTCAAATTTAGAGCTAATTATATTTTCCTACTGAATCAAGACTTTTTGACGAAGTTTCTTTGATGACACCATTAGTCTTGGGGTTTCTAGTTTTACGGTGGAGTAAGCACTGGTCCCTGTCCTGTGAGAGTGCCAGTGTCGCCCTCCAGTCCTTCCACATGCTTCTTCCATTCTTTGCCAGTGTGATAATTTCCTCTCATATAGACGTCAGTCACTGCTTAGCTGGACCCTTCAGGAGGACCCGATGAAGAGCTAACGATTGCTCTTCGTCTGACTCTGCAGCACTTCGTCCTGCTGTGACCCTGGGAATCTAGACTCCTGCCTGGATTCCCCTTCCTTGCCAGGCCTGGGATCTGGACTCCGGGACAGGAGGCTGAGGCAGTGGAGGCCCCACATTAAGTTCTTCTCAGTGTTCAGTGGATGTTATTTTGCCTGGTACTTGGCATTTTACAAGCCATTGTTTTGTATGTTTTGTTGGGTTTTGGGGGGTGGGGGAGTCAGGTGTAAATCTGATCTCTCATATTTCATCATGGCCAGAAACAAAAGTTTACATATTTCAGCAATTGTTTATCTTTATTTTTGTTTTTCTTCAGGAGACTACTCACAAAGCCAGTATTTTACTGAGTGGTAAACTTAAGGTAGAAAACGGTCAGATTTATCAGAACCCAGTTAGCTGGCTCAAGGATCTTCTGGGAGGTGGCAATTATGTGACCTGGAATTATGCTTGGAGTAAGGTAATTCTTAAATTTAACTTCATAATGAAATAGGAAATATTTATTTTTTACTTTCAAACATCTCTACAAGAAATGTGAACGACCGCTGATTTGGTTTGTGCCCTGCGTGTGTCTCCTGTGATGTTGCTACTTCTTCCCACAAAGTGCTTGCCACAGTGCCCCGGGCATGTAGCACAGCTGACTGCACCCCTTCCTTGTTTTTATCTACTCTCAGAAACGTCATCACACCCGTGCACCTCTTTTTTTCCTCCCAAGAAGCTTCTGGATCCATATAGAAAATAGGGATCATAGAGTAGCTGTGTTCTTACTAGTATCATGAAATAAATTCCCTAAGTACAAAGGGATGAGCGAGAACCCTGAGGCTTACAGACATTCCATTACACTTTCCCTTTTGAACATGGCACTATCCTCAAATCACTCAACGATTATTTTTCTCATTGTCACTTAAACTCTAAGACTTAGTAGCCTGGCTACTAATTCAGTCCTGTCTTCTGAATTACAAACTCAGTTAAGATTTCACTACTTTAAGAACCATCTTATACCATAGTTGACCCAGACAAGCATGCATCATCAAATCCATCTGTGCTGGATAGCTTTACATCAACTCAACATAAGCTAAACTCATCTGAGAGGCAGGAACCTCAATTAAGAAAATGCCTCCATGAGATCTAGTTCTCAGTTAGTGATCAATGCAGGAGGGCCCAGCCAATGGTAGGTGGTACCATCCCTAGGCTGCTGGTCCTGGGTTCTATAAGAAAACAGGCTGAGCAAGCCATGGGGAGCAAGCTAGTCATGGGACTCCGCATCAGCTCTTGTTTGAGCTCCTGTCCTGACTTCCTTTGATGATGAACAGTGATATGGAAGTGTAAGTCAAATAAACCCTTTCCTCCCTAAATTGCTTTTTGGCCATCCCAGCAATAAAAACCCTAACTAAAACACTGCCGTTGTCATTTCAAAAAAATAGATGATACACTTAAATTCCACTAGCCCTTTCAGTAAGCCTCAAAGCACAAATTAACAGAGGATGGCTTCTCATTTTGTCCAGCCTAGCTCTGCTTACACCCTCCTAGCTCCTGCTCTGCCCCCAACTCTGCATTTTTCTAAATGGTTACCAGAGTAGTTTTAGTAATGTACTTTAGCTCCTTCACTTGTATCAGCATATTTTGGATTTTGTACCTTATGTACCTTATGTAGTCTGTCTGCCATGCCTTCCACTCTCCTCTCCACCAAAGGATTAACTCCTCCGTCCTTTGGGAATCACATATCTCCTTTCAGTTCATCCTTAGTTTGTTTGCCAAGTCCTTTTCGTGGATGCATAATTCATTACAAATGTTAGCAATCAACATCTTAATAATTTGATATTAATAAGAATTTAATAATAGTCCCTTTCATTGCAATATTTTTAAAAATTATGATAGATTATACTCTGCTGACACAGACTCTTTCCTCATGTTGTGAATCTGGCAGATTGCTTGCTTTAGGTCATTTGACTTCAGCATACTCATGTTACAGTGAACCCAGTGAGAACTCACTGTCTCCTCTCTTTTCCTGCATTGGAACTACTACTGTGTTTCCTGCCTTTGAGTAACTGATGATGACATGTGGCTCTTCTGCTGTACTAGTGCCTCTTTAATGTATCATCTTGCTTCTGATCATTTCTTGTCAGCTAGACCTGTGGTTTAGCACCTGTATGGTAGTGAAGCAAATGCAAATGTGGGCCCTAAAAATAGGACAGTTCTTGATGTGAGATACCTATCCAGGTATGAGCAGCCTTGGAGTATTACTCTTTAAAGATTGTTAAAAGAAAAGAATGCAGAGCTTTAACACTTCCTACAGGGCACTCATGCACTTTTAGTAAACGCTCAAGGCTAAGAAACATGACTTCTATGAGGTTGGGGTTTTTTGTTGTTTTACAAGTCTTTATAAAAGTTTACCATAAAACTTGCTTCTTTGGGCTTTAGGAGAACTCCTAAAGTCACAGTCACTTCTGGATGCCAGGGATTTTTTGCTGTGTTTGTAATTGTATGTATTTCTGCTGACTAGTTCTGAGAATGGTGATGGTATACAACCAGGGATGATTAGCTGGCCAGTACAAACACCAGGAAACTAAGACTTGCTCTGTGTGCACAGTGTGGCAGAGCCACTGCACAGAGCTGATTCTACCTCCCACACAGAGGGTAGACTGCTCCACTGCTTTGCCAGGGGTGTCCTGACGCTTACTCCCATTGGACAGCACTGAAGTTTCTTGATGCTGCTGCCCTCTCCTAGCTACGAGTGTTCGTTCCAATGGGCAGAGGCAGCTCTGGTAAGAGAACAGATCACCCTAGTCCCTGGTTCATCATTCTTTTTAAGTTATGATCAGAGCAACAGTTTTTACCACAGCCATACATTAATCACTTTAAAAACCAGAAGTGGCTAGGTGTGGTGCCTCATACCCTTAGTCTTAAGCACTTGGGAGGCAGAGACAAGGAGATCTCTATAAATTTGAGGTCATTTTGGTCTACACAGAAAGTTTCAGGGCAAGTAAAGCTATATAGCTAGACCTTGTCTCAAAAGAACCAAAACAAGCAAAAAATAAAAACTGCCAGACCCAGTTCCATAGCTTCTGATCTGATAACCTTTGCAGGGCCCAGGAAGTGGTATTGGGGAGGGGCACTTGCCACAGATCATGAGCGTCAGTGACCACACTATATGGTGTTAACGAAACTGGATATCAAACTGCAGAAGAATAAAATTAGATACATGTTTCTCACCTTATACAAAAGTCAGTTTGAAATAGATCAGAAACCTTAATTTAAAGCCTGAAATGTCTAAAACATTGAAGGAAAACATAAAGCATATTCTTCAAGACAGTGGGGTCGGCGAGAATAGAGCACCAGCAGCGCAGGAAGTAGCCAGAGTACCAGGAGATGGTCTGCTGGAAATAAAAGGTCTGCGCAGCCAATGGAACTCAGCAAGCACACAAACAGCCCACAGAATAGGAGAAAATCTTCGTGAACTGTGCTTCCAGACAGAGGGATGATGTCCATAATTTACAAAGAACTGCAAAAATTAAACATGAAAAGAAATACCCTCTAACTGCTAGTTAACAAATGGACTAACGACATAAACAATCCATATTCAAAAGAAGAAACACGAATGACCAATACTATTTTTTAAGTGTTCGCCATCCCTAGTCATCAGGAAATGCAAATCAACTACTGTGAAATGATTCCTACTCTAATCAGTGCTGTTGTCAGGACATCTGAAAGCAAATGTGGAGAGGATGTAGAAGAGGAACCCTTATTCTCTGCTGGTGAGAGTTCAAATTAATATGACCAGTGTGGAAATCAATTTAGAGTTTCCTCAGAAAATTAAAAAGAACTACCATGTGACCCCACTGTTTCCTGGGCACACATACTCTGAGCACTCCACATCCACCAATAGAGACAGCCACATATTCGTGTTCACTGCTGCACTGCTAAAGATAGCAAGGGAATGCAATCAACACAGATGGAAACCAGCAAATGGCTCAGTAATGAAAATGTACACATACAAAGGGACTGTTATTGAACTGTAAGGAAAAATGAGTCAGGAAAGTAGAAGCAGAGTAGATAGAGTATACATATTATTATAATATTATTGTTATTATTGGAGCTCACTCAGATTCAGAAAGAAAAAATGCATATGGCACGAGACTAAGAAAGGGGACTCCAGTGACATTACGGATGCAGGCATGACACGTGAGCTGCGATAGAAGATGCAAAGCTAGTTGTTTTTCCAGCCTTAACTTGGTCATAGTTTTTTCTTCTTTTGATAGTGGAAGTCTAAAACCCTGAACTGTGCTCCTTGAGAAGGCCATTCTGACTGTGCAGAGGTCTCTGGGATGCATAGTTTAGAGCGAGGCTGTATTTGCTTGAGTGGTACTGTAATACAGCTATGTGCTATCATTTCTGAGTTCATTACAGTAAAGTGATTTTGAAAATTCAGACTTTAAAAAAAGATTCACAGCCTTAAACAATCTGCGTTGGGCACTGGAGAGATGGCTCAGCAGTTCAGAGCCCTGGCTGCTCTCCAGAAGACACAGGTTCTGATGTGGGAATAGTTTCTTATTAATAAAGAAACTGCCTTGGCCCATTTTATTGGATAGAAAATTAGGTAGGCGGAGTATACAGAAGAGAATTCTGGGAGAAAGAAGGTTAGAGGAAGAGTCGCCATGATGCTCCCGCTCCAGACAGACGCAGATGGAGGTGGGTCTTGTAATAAAGAAACTGCCTCGGCCCTCATAGGACAGAAAATTAGGTGGGTGGAGAAAACAGAAGAGAATTCTGGGAGAAAGAAGCTTAGTGAGTGAGTCGCCATGATGCTCCCACTCCAGACAGACGCAGGTTAAGATCCTCCCTGGTAAGCCAGCTCGTGGGCTACACAGAATATTAGAAATGGGTTAGAACAATATGTAAGAGCTAGCCAATAAGAAACTGGACCTAGCCGGGCCAGGCAGTGTTTGAAAGAATACAGTTTCCGTGTAATTATTTCTGGGTATAAACTAGCCATGC